CATGTAGAAACTCACCGGAGCCGGGGTGTCGGGGTGGCTGGACAACGATACTGACCACTGACGGCCTGACCCACAATTTGGATGTTAGCGGTTGCCCAGTCAATGACGTTGCCATGGTGATTACAGAACGCCGACCAGTCCGCCCCTACTTCAGCTGGAGACAGCACGCGGTACCAGAGGTTCACCTGTGACAGTTCTCCGCTGAACGCTTGATTTCTGTCGAACCCTCCCCCAACTCGGTCTTGCTCCTGTGCGAGGATCAATGTACCACCGCTGCGCACTCTGTCACCCCTGCAAAATCCCGAGCCGCTATTCTTCAGCACACCGTCAGCGAAGACCTGCCAAGCGCCATCACTGCTGCGCCAGGTAACACATAAGGCGTGCCGCGCGCCGTCCCACACCGGCAAGGGACCCAGGACAACTTCCTGGCCTTGTATAAACAACTGAAAACATAGATATCTTAATTATGACATGGGAAGTTTCATTTGCTGTTGAGGACATGCGGCACCTACTACTTGAGACAATAATGCGTCAACGAGACTATCACATTGGTGTGTGATGAATACCAAAAGAAAACTTGTCTAATGCTTATCTGGCAGATAAAAGCATTAAATTAGTGGCGGGTTATGCCACCAGAACTGGAAGCTATCAAACAGAATTGTACACGTACCTTAAAACCGCGCCCTCTATATCCCCTATTGAAGACGAGTAGCTCGTTGGCCTGTTGCGTCACAGCGTAGCTGACCAAAGCTGCGTCACTGCTGGAGCTCATGTCGGTGCGCATGTGCAGACATAGAGTAAAAACTCCGTAAGTCCTGAGACAATGACGTCGTCAGCCTGACGTAGTTACTGGTGCTGCGCGGAGAGGGGAAGGTTGTTCTCTTCTGGTCACCTGGTGGGGATGGAACGGCAACATTGTTAAAAGTTGGGACTTTTTCATTTACCTGTATATTGAGTAACCCACTCACCAAACTTTGACCGGTCATTTTTCCTTGTTCAGGAATACTGACCTCCGTACGTCTCACACGTGGCTTCATGGAAACAAGTGCACATGTAGTAGTAGGTCAAAGGTAACATTACTGTCAGAAAGGAGTTGGTTTGCATTTCCAAAGCCATATCCGATCTAACGTAATTCAAACCCAACACGTTTACATTAGTAGTGTTATGAACAGAATTTCTCTACACTGATTTCGATTGTGTTTGCTTCCTATCATTACTAAATCCATTTATCCATATCAAAAAGTTTCTTACTAATGATTACAGCAACACAATGTCATAAAATAGTTACATTAATCATGAAATCAATGGCAACATTGCAAAAAGTGATGAAGATTATATTATAATGACCGATGGTTACATCAAAATGGAGCCTTTAATTGGTCAGCGCCATCTGGCAATATGGAAATGTCTCTTAAAATTTTTGTCGGCTGAGTGACAGATTGACCTGACTTCATGACTCATAACATCTAAACAAAGGGTATTTGTGAAACCAGCTCAGCCAACTCACTTATTAAAGGGGAGACTGGTCCCCACGAGAGTTTTTGGGGTGCAGAAAAAAGGGAATTTATCAAATAGGTTGAATGATTTGCTGGATGAGTTTTCCGGCAGATTTACGTCTGCTTACAAAGACTATGTCAAACAACAGTTGCATGTAGAAACTCACCGGAGCCGGGTGTCGGGGTGGCTGGACAACGATACTGACCACTGACGGCCTGACCCACAATTTGGATGTTAGCGGTTGCCCAGTCAATGACGTTGCCATGGTGATTACAGAACGCCGACCAGTCCGCCCCTACTTCAGCTGGAGACAGCACGCGGTCCCAGAGGTTCACCTGGGACAGTTCTCCGCTGAACGCTTGATTTCTGTCGAACCTCCCCCAACTCGGTCTTGCTCCTGTGCGAGGATCAATGTACCACCGCTGCGCACTCTGTCACCCCTGCAAAACCCCGAGCCGCTATCTTCAGCACACCGTCAGCGAAGACCTGCCAAGCGCCATCACTGCTGCGCCAGGTAACACATAAGGCGTGCCGCGCGCCGTCCCACACCGGCAAGGGACCCAGGACAACTTCCTGGCCTTGTATAAACAACTGAAAAGATAGATATCTTAATTATGACATGGGAAGTTTCATTTGCTGTTGAGGACATGCGGCACCTACTACTTGAGACAATCATGCGTACAACAAGACTATCACATCGGTGTAGTGATAGAATACTAAAAAGAAAACTCGTATAATGCTTATCTGGCAGGTAAAAGTAATAAATCAGTGACTGGTTTTACCAGAACTGGAAGCTATCAAACAGAACTGTGCACGTACCTTCAAACCGCGCCCTCCCTTATTGAAGACGAGTAGCTCGTTGGCCTGTTGCGTCACAGCGTAGCTGACCAAAGCTGCGTCGCTGCTGGAGCTCATGTCAGTGCGCATGTGCAGACATAGAGTAAAACTCCGTAAGTCCTGAGACAATGACGTCATCAGCCTGACGTAGTTACTGGTGCTGCGCGGAGAGGGGAAGGTTGTTCTCTTCTGGTCACCTGGTGGGGATGGAACGGCAACATTGTCAAAAAGTTGGGACTTTTCATTTACCTGTATAGTGAGTAACCCACTCACCAAACTTTGACCGGTCATTTTGCCTTGTTCAGGAATACTGACCTCCGTACGTCTCACACGTGGCTTCATGGAAACTAGTGCACATGTAGTAGTAGGTCAAAGGTAACATTACTGTCAGAAAGGAGTGGGTTTGCATTTCCAAAGCCATATCCGATCTAACGTAATTCAAACCCAACACGTTTACATTAGTAGTGTTATGAACAGAATTTCTCTACACTGATTTCGATTGTGTTTGCTTCCTATCAGTACTAAATCCATTTATCTATATCAAAAAGTTTCTTACTAATGATTACAACAACACTCTGTAATAAAATAGTTACATTAATCATGAAATCAATGAACATTGCAAAAAGTGATGAAGATTATATTATAATAACCGATGGTTACATCAAAATGTAGCCTTTAATTGGTCAGCGCCATCTGGCAATATGGAAATGTCTCTTAAAATTTTTGTCGGCTGAGTGACAGATTGACCTGACTTCATGACTCATAACATCTAAACAAAGGGTATTTGTCAAACCAGCTCAGCCAACTCACTTATTAAAGGGGAGACTGCCCCCCACGAGAGTTTTTGGGGTGCAAAAAAAGGGGAATTTATCAAATAGGTTGAATGATTTGCCGGATGAGTTTGCCGGCAGATTTACGTCTGCTTACAAAGACTATGTCAAACAACAGTTGTATGTAGAAACTCACCGGAGCCGGGTGTCGGGGTGGCTGGACAACGATACTGATCACTGACGGCCTGACCCACAACTTGGATGTTAGCGGTTGCCCAGTCAATGACGTTGCCATGGTGATTACAGAACGCCGACCAGTCCGCCCCTACTTCAGCTGGAGACAGCACGCGGTCCCAGAGGTTCACCTGTGACAGTTCTCCACTAAACGCTTGATTTCTGGCGAACCCTCCCCCAACTCGGTCTTGCTCCTGTGCGAGGATCAATGTACCACCGCTGCGCACTCTGTCACCCCTGCGAAATCTCGAGCCGCTATT